GCTTACCCTGATGACGAGTCCCATGAAGCAGAGAACGATGACGCTGCACACGATCATAACAATCGCACCCTTCTTCCAATATGGGGCTTCATCGGCCGCATAGAAGACGATGCCCCAGAAGGTGTAAAGCGTGGTGGCGCCAATGTTCATAGCGTACACCGTCACGCTGCGCACCGCCTCGTCGCCGCTCCGTTGGAGGATGATGCTAGCCCAGCCGAAGATCAACGGGTTGACCATGTACGACGAACCCGACGCGTAGAATGCGAACATGGTACCGGCGTAAGGCAGGTTCGGAACGAGGAGCATCGCGGCGCAGACGATCTGGATAAGACAAACCAGCACAACCATGGGAACTCGGGTTCCGGTCGCGTCCATGTGCCATGCCGCCATGATATTGGTTACGATGCCGACTGCTTGCACACCCAAAGGATAGGTGTTGATTTGGCTCTGTGTGAAGGATTCGGCGTGGTACTTGAGCCAAAGGATGAAGTTACCCTGGACAACCCAGGCCTCGAGTGTAGCGCAAATCGGAGACCACAGCACCAAAACCCAACTATTGTGTGGTCAGCTATCCCAACTCATGTCGTGATAAGAGCGCTACATCCGACTTACAAGGTGGGCATGAGTACTAGACGCTTCAACAGAGAGAACGGGTTGACTCCGTGCGACCCTTTGATGACTGGAGGCAAACGTCCAACGGCAATCTTTTTCTCAGAGTCACTGAGATACCGAGCGCTGGTGTTTTCAGGGATGTCTGGGAAGTAGAAGAAGCCAAAGATGGCGATGGGAAGCGTGATGATACCATCTGAAGTCTGTCAGCAAGCTTTTCCAACCGCAGGCCTCGTCAATTTTCTCCTACCAATTATGAAGACCCACTGCCAACCACCAAGACCGGCAAGGCCGCCTAGTCCCTTGTAAATGGCAGCCATCATGACGCCGGCAAACATTGTGCCTACCTGGCCTGACGCGGTGAAGATGGCCGTGCGCTTCGAGATTTCTTCTGGCTTGTACCAGGAGCCCATGATGTAGATGGCTCCCGAGTAGGTGCTAGCCTCCGCCAAGCCGAGGAAGAAGCGGATAACGCAGAGCTGAGCGGTATTCTTGACACCTGCACTAGCCATCTGGGTATCGTCAGCGAACCGCAATAGGATAATTGGACACCGATGAGACGCACAGTCAGGAATGCCCAGAGACAGCACATCGACGGCAGCCAGATTCGCGGCCGGACGATTTGGAGACCGATGATGATGCCATGAGGAATCTGGCCCACCACCATACTTTGATATGGGTCAGCTCATGTTCGTGGAAACGCTGCTCATCGGCCCAGATCTTACCCAGCAGTGGTCACCGAAAGGACTGTGTTATAGTCATGGCCCTTCATGTGCAGGGCCTCGCGGAGGCCAGCAACCTAGAGTGAGCATGTCAGTTTTGCTCAATGGTTTGCTCATTTCAATGCGGAAACTCACATAAGCATTGGCAAAAGCAGCACGGTCTTTTGTTTGCGTCCATTGTCAGTGGTCCGGACCTTCTTCAAAGCTGATATGAGGCAACCATCACCCACCCAGGTAGTTGAAGAAGTAACTGAGGCAGCAGTATGTCAAGATGAAGAAGTCTACGACGTATTAGTCAGATCCATCATTTTTCAATACACAGATAATGGGAGTGCCTACCTATTTTCTGCACAAGACGTCTTTCTTCTTTGGAAGTTGCCTCATTGCCAAGGAAGAAGGCTTCGTAAGTCCAAGAAAGTTAGCCCAAGGCGCATGTACGGTTATGACGGTGTTCGAGTATCAAACCATACCCTTGACCTTCTTGCCGGTTGATCGGTTCTCAGTGGCCATGTTTTCTGTCAATTGCTTGCCGCATACGGTTCTTTCCGATGCTACCTTATCCAAGATGCAACATGAACAAGTGCTCTTTCTCGAGTCCCGAGTGAAACAAACGATCTGATAAAGGATTTGGAGAGTTCTATCTTGAATGGGTGTCATTCATCCGTAAACCTCGAAATTTTCTGCTGCCCAGATCTAGGGCGTGCGCGACAAGGATTCGTCTATTCGGAGCACACGACGTTGGCGATGAAATGTCAATTGCATCCCTTACAAGTCATAAGCGAAAGTAAGCGCGCAGAACTTTCAAAAATGTCTAAAGAACAAACAGAAACTTGCTCACCCGAGAACCTTGATGGCCTCATTACTACCAGTTTTCCTACTAGTCATTTTGATGTGGTGGCCGGCGGCCCCGTCTCGCCCATCTACTTTTGTGGCTCCATTGCACAAGCGCACTCCACTGACTGGCATGGACATGGCATCTTGTCAAATGAAATTGTTCGGATTTGAGCGAAGACGGGCGGGGAAGCGCTTGGCGGCTGATGGATCTGATGAAAACACCCACCCGCTTGGAAGGCGGCTTTCCTGCGTCAGTTGCCGAAGGCCTGACCGTGGCGACCTTCGGCGACGTTCGTTATCGCTGGTTTCGTCTTCTATGGCAGCAGCGGGTGAACCATTAGCATGACGTACTTCGAAGCCAGTTGCCGTATTTGAAGTTGGATATCCTTGTTTTTATCAGATTGAACACTTCAAGTTCCCCTGTTTCTTGGTCTCTAGGCACTCCCAAGGTAAGTCGCAGCTCTATCCGCACAGAATCGTTGGAAATGCCAAGGCGAATATTAGTCCGAGTTGATTTAGACTAAACTCTGATCGACCACGAACCATTTTTACAGCATCAAGGTTTTAAGCATGCAGATCAAATGAATGGATTTCAACTCGAGACCGGGGCCGCCTTGAAATGGATCAGCTCACTAGTGGATGCATTGTGACTTTAATAGAAGTTTCGAATTTCTTCGGACTCACCTATTGGTCTGGTAAGAACGGCTACTGACTCCTACCTTACGTACATGGACGTTTCAACAATAGCCGCAATTACTGAGCCTGTCGAAACCTACCAAGTGCGAAGTCTGTTGGATGTTCACTTTTTCCCAGCTGCCTCCATGGCCTCCCGCCTCTTCTTCTCGTAAATGGAGTTGACCTTGCCTTCCAGAGCCTCGCTGCAGAAAGCCTCAAACGAATTCCCCATCAAATCGGGATACAGATCCTTGGCGATTTGATATCCTAGGTAGCGCGCGTACTCCGGCGTGTTGTCTCCTCGGAGGCCCCATGATTTCCGATATTGTAAAACCGATAGCCTATGAGGGTTGGCCTTGTCATCCTTCGCCTTGACCATCGCAGCCTCAATCTCGTCGGCTGACATCTGGGTTTCGATGTTAGTTTAATCGCTCAAAGTCAAGCCTTCACCGTCTGTTTCTCGTTCCATCTGTGCGTTGTTGTCACCGAGTCTTGGGCAGGTGTTCTAGAACTTACGTATTTTCTCTCAACCTTTTCTCCACTCAGCTTCTCAATCAGATCGTACACTTCATTCTGGGACATGAGCTCCGTGAAGGCGAAGACTCTGTGATTCAGGGTCCGTGGGTCCGCAATGATGCGGGCGACGTATTTGCCAACATCACGGAGGTCAGTCATGCCAGAACGAACGGTTCCATCTCCCGCGATCCAGTTGTCGAATGGGCTCGCGACTCCGTCGATCCGTCCCGAGGCCAGACGGGGCAAGCTGATCTGGTACCACCAGCCAACATCGATAACCGTGTACGGAAGGTATATAGTCTGAATGTGGTTCAAAACATCCTCTTTCTACGACGCGTTCAATTATTAGCTCTACAGCGATTTTGACATCTTCTGGGGGTCTGTGGAGTCTTTCTCACCTGGTCCCGAAACCACAACATGCCTCTGCCGGGCATCACCGTCCCAAAGAAGCAGGGGATAAATCGCTTTACCCCCGCTTTCTTAGCCGCATTGGCGAGGGGAATTTGGTCGAGCAGCTTGTCTGCCACAATGGCTGAGACGATCACCTCATGACCGGTAAGCTGATTCGCGATTTCATCTTCGGGTCCGCTCAGGTCTACCGAGGCAATCTTGACGCCCCTCTTCTCCAAAGCTTTGACCTCTGGCTTCTCCAGCGAGCTCGGTCGGATAAGCGCAGTTATCTCCTATCGGAAGACTTATCAGTATCTTCACTAAGATATAAAGACTGTCATGATAGACGAGGTCCTCACATATTTCGTCTCAGGCGAGGAGAGTAGGCCATTCACAATAGAAGTTCCGGTTTCGCCGGTTCCACCGAGTACTGCAACCTTCATGTTTGATGTTATTCTCTGGTTTCCAAGAATCTAGAACTGTTTGTTGCTTGGAGTGAAAGCCGACGGTCTAGCCCCAGGTCTCTGTTGTCGATGAGAAGAACTTGAGGTTAACTTATGCTCCAGAATCCCATAGAGCCAGCTATGGATCCCTCTTTACCCATAGAACTGCCTACTATTGGCTCTCATACCACCATGAAGATGATATCATTGCAACGCTATTTCTCCATATCGGTGTCTCGAACAGCCAAAAGTCCGCAAAAAGCGGGGAAAAGCTGCGGACTGGCCCGGTTTGACGCTGCGGAGTTTTATCGGGTTGGGGCTGAATGCAACGCGGACGCAGCTTCCCGCGTCTAGAGCCGGGGGCCCGCGCCAGCCCACGCGGTTTCGGTTCCGGAAGTGACTGGAGGACGGGGGGCGGCGGCCTAAAACGTCGACCGAGATGACTGAACTGGTTGCCCTGGCTTATAAATCAGTATCAACCCCGCGTCTTGCTAATTTCCCCGTCGTTTGAGAATACGAATAGTACGAGGTATCTTGAAGTTTCTTATCAAAATCCGTATTGGCTCTTCGTTGAGATTACGCTAAAGTAACCCATTGTGATATCGTACCAAGCATTCTGTTTCGATAATCTACTCAGCTATGATGAGGAGTCCATGATTGACTTGAAGTTTGTTCTATATGAGTTAGTATAAACGCAACTACTACTTTGTCGTGACCAAGCATGCGAGACACGTCACATTTCAACTTCTTGATTTGGCTCGAGAGAAACAGGGACATGGAAGCAGTAAGATCAACTGATTGAGCGAGTCAATGCTCTATCAAGTGATTGAAGTCTGTTGTAGTAATCCTGTCCATGGAACGCGTGAGGGCACAACTAGAGCTCTATTTCGGGACGTATGCCTAACTTACTCTGAGTGCCAGAGAGTGCCCTTCAACACTCGCTCAATTACCCTTCTCTCTGTCGACCGCATTATCTCATCCTTTCTGGTAAATTTGACTATTCAAAAATCCCTCTCGTTTGGTGCCTTCAATGCAAATGTTGACTGAACCAGCTCACGGCGGCCGACTTTGCCAGAGCCATGGCCTTCCTCTCCCCAGGCTTTGCGGGGTCACCTCTAGTCAAGCAAGCATGCTCAACGCCAGGGTAGTGATGATACTCGAAAGACACGCCCTTCTTCAACATGGTCTCAAAATAATGCGACTTCAGCTCAGGGGTGAACTGCGTATCAAATTCGGGAGCCAACAGCTGCACCGGAACCCCAACACCATCAATATCCTCCTTGGTCAGCAAGCTGGGATGGCCAGTCGCGATGCAGTCGACCAACGGAGGATCATGCTCCTTTGCTCCTAGCCGGAAGACTGCCCACCCTCCGTAACAGAACCCAATGGCTCCAACTTTTCTGTGCTTCTTGCGAACCTCTTTGACAAAGTTGGTGATTTCAGGTTCTCGAATCTCACGTGAATTGTCCTTTCCAAAGCTCGAGAGGTCAATTTCGTGCCATCGGCCTTGAAGCACCGGCTCAAAGGGTACAACCCAACCGCCGAAGAAGTCTGGTAGGTACACTGTGACGTTGGCTTCGCGAGCATAGTGATCAGCTAGGAGGCGTGCGTTGGGAAAGGTCCAGCCCAGAAGGTCGTGGACGATGACGACCGCGGCATATGGATTGTCACCGATGATGTAGACGTCATTGTTGGCAAGCTTGTCGATTCGGCCCGTGGGCGTGCCGTTCCATTCGAAGGCTGTCAAGCAACACGATGGGATAGCCATTTTTCGGGGGTTTTGGTACGTGGATAGAGCGGCGCCCTCTGTGTCTTCTGTGAAATATTATGTTCAATATTGAGAGCTACAGCCACGAGTTGAGTGAGACAATTATGTGAGGGGGCTCGCGTTAATAGCGCTGTGGTTGCAGCCTTCGGACTTACTACAACCTAAACACCGGTGACATGACAATGCGGAGAAGCAAGTCGGCTAGGAAAGAGTCCGGACACCGATCTTCCCATGAAATACACGTTGCACCAAAACATAAGTGAGGCATTTGCTGGTCAGGATAACAGCAAAGGTAGGTTGAGTTGAAATGGTCTTCATAAGGTCGTTGATTTACCAATCAAAGCTCTGGACATACGAACACGAAGGCGACTCAGACTAGGGACTTCTGTTTGGCACATCAATCTGCATGGGGCGGAAATTTGACATGGCAACTAAGTACTTAGTGTCGCTGGGACTACTAAACCAAAAGTAACTAGGTTCACGAAGAGCGCACAATCAATTCTCATGCAGAAGAGATAGGTGGTTCCAGTAAGTCGATAGAAACAAGTTCGCCATCTCCCCATTTCGGAATATTCCCAACCTGTCACCTCCCACCCATGGCTGTAACTTCAGAGTACATAATTTATTCTGGAGCAGTAGAGTACGGATTCATTCATGACTACGCTGATTCCATGATCGATCGAATACCGTGAGCGAACGTTGAGCTAGTCGCAAGTCAGTTGATCGGTGTTGTCACAGGGGTGCTCGGCATACCTGTTGGCACGACATCAAGAGCCTTAATGGAGACATTGTCCGGTTGTTCTAGCATGTAGACCGCCGCCTGCGCAACATCCTCAGACATAAGCGGACTAACTGGCGTTAGTTTATTCGCGCATCGTTAACAGAAAATAACCTAGCAATAGGAACTTACTCGTATCCCTCCACGAAAGAGTCGTACTGCTCCTGATCGAATCCCACCCGCTGCGTGTGAAAGTGAGTCGCGACGACCCCAGGCCTAATTGCTAGCACCTTGATATCTGTTTCCACTAGTTCGTTGCGAAGAGAGTTGGTGAAGCCCTCTTGGAAGGCTTTGCTCGCGTGGTAGACTGCCTCGCCCGGGAACGGGGGGACTTCATGCGCCGTGACGGAGGTGACGTTAAGGATTGTGCCCTTTCCGGGCTTGTGCTTCATCATGGACCTGTTGAGTACCGAGTGTGTCACGAACATGGTTCCGTTGATGTTGGTGTTGGACATGGTGATGATGTCCTCGATCTTGAGGTCTGGGAACCTTGCAGGAGCACCCAAGGCGAGACCGGCCTTCGGGGGATGGGTTAGCGAGGCTTGGAAGGATGCGGTGTTACACGAAAAGTCAATAGGGAAGCCTGGCTTACGTTGTTGATGAGGATGTCAATATCACCGACCTCCTCGATGGCTGAGCTGATCGCCTTGTCGACCACGTCAGAAACTCCAATATCAGCCGCCCGATAGATGACCTTGATGTTCGGGTTGGAATTAGACACGCTCTTCGCAACAGTGCTGAGTTTCTCCTACATAAAGCGTCAGTCGACTGACATGCCAGCTACGCTCCCTGTGTATCTGGCTTTCTCACGATACCGACTTACTTCGGATCTGGATATGAGGATTAAATTCGCACCCTTGGCAGCGAGCGTGGTGGCGATCGCTTCGCCGATTCCCATAGAGGCGCCTGTCTGTAGAGAGTTAGTGATGGTTCTGCATTGGGTTCAAGTGTTGTCATTATTGGAGACGAACTAGCAAGACATTCTTTCCATTAAGATCCATCCTGATGTCAAATAGCGAAGTTTGTCGCAGCTCAAGTCAAAGTTTTCCTCAATCTAAAGTCAACGTATTGAATTGATGAAGACTAGAAGGGATCGAGCTGTAAGGGTCTCTCGAAAGCATTTATACGATTTCCTAGGGGCGTCTTCAAGTGATATGCACACCATGAACCACCACGATATGAGTTGACTCTCTAGTCGTCCAGCTTACAAATGTCCACTACGTCACTGTCGACTGACTAGGACAACCCCACTTCGTAGGGTAGAACCTGAGTAAAGTCATCCTATGAGAGCAGCCACTACATGCTCATTTTCGGCGATAAGATGCACATGTACGGTGATGTAGTCTTTAAGCATAATCTTCTTTCCCGCCGTAAAAAGCCTATGGGCGGAAACTGCCTCTATTGGACGCGCTGCACCTTGGCACGTCCACAGGTGGGGAGGGACCTTTTTTGCCTCAACTCCACGGACTTTCACACCGACTGAGTCATTGTAGCCTTGGTACTCCCTAGAATCAATGTTTGGATTGCTGGCTAAGTCACCCTGGAGACGAAGGATTCAACTAAGGCATAGATCAGGGTGAGTAAATGAGAAAAGTGGACTTTGCACACTCTCGTCCTTCCATCATTCCATGTACATACTTCGCTACTTGTTGACGAGAGAATGTTCCGACATCGTGGTACGTGCGACGATGGTCCACGTTTAAGATTTCGAAAGACAGACACTTGACCTTAAGCTAGGGCCTCATGCTCACGGCAGCGGCACAGGTAGATAACACGGAATCGCGATGAGGTTCAAGACTCTCAATGCAAGTAAAACCCAAAGGATCTTGGCGGCCGTATTACTTGGTGGTACAAGTGCGATAAACCCTTAATATGACCTGGATCAGCCTATAGGCTACCTCGACGCCGGTCGCATGGAAACGAATCGGATCTCACACCGGATCCAAGCTAGACGGGCCAATGAATTGTGGCAGGCGGCACCGGGGTTATTCAATGGCCTGGCTTCATGGCACGAATTAGCAAGGGATGTCTTTTACCTACAAAAGGCCTATCGCTGATAGGATCGACTGTACTGAGTATGCTGTGGACAACATGTCAAGAGACACCGGTATGAATGAGCATGAGCACCAACTCCTTCATGTTATTAACCAGAATGGGCTCGGAGAAATGTATTTCTCATACCAAAGAGAAAGTGCCCTTGCACTTTCCCGGAAAAGTAAGAGCCGTGGGTTATGCCTGTTAGGGAAACCCTTTCTATTCTACCTCACCACGTGGTAATTATCTTTGAGATGACGGGAGCGCTGAATGCTTGTCAGAAGCTTTGTCGAATTTGTTCCACAGTGCGGTCTAGCCAAATGGGCATTGACTCAATCAGTAGATATCGAGGCTCACTTATTCTCCGAGAACGCGCATAGCGACTAGATCTTGTCCAAAATGTACAACGGAACGAGCCTTGAATTAGAAACGGGTCATTGCCACATCTAGTTATTCTTGAAGAGCTTTGAGGCCTAACTACGATAACGAAATCTATTGTCCGTGACCTGGAGCTCGTGGCTTGAATACGGTGGTTGTTATCTGCCATCCATTCCCTGGCCGATCAATTTGCCGGTGTTGACAACACACCCACTAGGATCGCGGGGTAGGGGAAGCGGCTCTCCTCATAGATCTGCAGCTTTCACGTTAAGACCGAAGAGCGACAACCCGAGCCCACGGATTCAATGTCCATGGCCTGCCGTACCCATCAGCCGTGATAGCTCTCAGGCACGCACGGCAGGATAACGTGCAGACTACCATCCGGAGTCAGGGGAAACCATGATCTCTTGGCTTCTAAAAATGTCAGCAGTATCGCAAAGCCGCTCTCCAGTTCCGGCCTAGCCCCACTGACGCACGTCCTACCCCGGTCTCGCCCCCCACGGCATTTTGAGTCGGGAAAAGAATCGTCCCCCCAAGACCCAAAGGAGAGGGCGAAAATAGCTTAGCCGAGGGTTTCCGAAGGAACCCGGTAAGTGGAGGAGGAGGAGGGGAAAAGTCGGGGACACTGTTGACTGAAGACATGCAGAGTCTCAGAGTTGAGCTTTCAGTCGCGTCGAGTCAAGTCAAAGTTATTCGTCAACGGACCTGGGAATTCACGTCACACGAGTGAGGAAATGAAGAGATTCAGAGCGGTTCCCAAGAGCCGGTTTACTCAAATTCGCTACGTAGCATTCGCCCAGAAACTCAATAGCTAAACTGAAAGTCTAGTGTACGAGTTGCACACTTGGAGACGAGGACACAAGCACACTTTCAACCAATCACCAAAGTACCGCGGTTTTCTACCGAATCAACTTGAAGAGGATATCAATTTCTAATTCGTGCGGAGAAAATTGGGCCTTCTAACGGGCCACATTTGCACTGACGCCATTTTGCAGTGCGGTTTTGAGGGATACACGAAGAGAAGAAAAAAAAGTGAGAAATCTCCGTTCTTCGGAGTCTCATGCTCAAAACAATTATCCAGACCCAGTGTGCTGTCCTTTCAGTGTACTATGCACACGCCACACTTTCCGCTCTCACATGCTGAAACAACCACTCATTCTCGCTCAAATCAGAAGCCCCCACAAGTTTAGAACTTGTTCTGGTTGGCGTTCTGCATGAGCATCTGGGAATCCGGCTTGTACTTCTTGGACACCAGGCGGACGTCGTACTCGACGTCGAGGGTGGCGCCCTTGGCCTCGTTCTGAACGGGCTTGAAGGTAAGAAGCAAATCGTCCTTGACGGCACAGGCGGTGTCGGTCTCGAGGTACGGGTCGTCGCTGGGGTAGAGCTGTGCCGTGACGCCGATGAAGTCGGGGTGCGTGACCATCATATGAATGTGCGCGGGGCGGTAAGGGTGGCGGCCCATGAGCTTGAGGAGGTCGGCCGAAGGGCCGGAGGTGTCGATGGCGTACTCGGTGGGCTTCAGGCAGTAGAAGTAGAACTTGCCCTCGGCGTCCGTCTTGAACTTGCCGCGCAGGTTGTGGCGGGTCTGGTTCTCGGGGTCAAAGACATCGTACTTTCCATTGGTGCTGGCCTGCCACATGTCGAAGACGGCGTCGGGGATGCCCTTGCCCGTTTCCGCGTCCTTGATGACACCGTGGAAGTATGTGAGCTGGCCGTCCTTGGGCATGTTCTGGACGACGGAGGCGCCGAGGTCGCGGAAGGGGGTCTCGGGAGACCAGAAGGGGCCGAGAATGGTGGAGGATGTGGGGGTGACGCCGGACTCGGTCTCGACCGTGTGGTTGATCTCGTCGACGAGACTGTAGAGAGGGGGGAGAATGGTTAGCCATTGGCTGGGTCTCTGCTTGCAAACATGGCATCGTAGTGGCGCGGCCGGAAAAGCCGCGCACGCGGGGTAAATGATTTTCGGAGTAGACGGCCACGCTAGAGGGCAGGGAAAGGGGGGTGGTAACTTACGACTCAATACCCAGAATATCGCACACTCTCCATGCCTCGTTACGGTTCTTCTGGTAGGCCTGGCCAATGGAGTTGATGTAGTTGACACCCAGAACCCACTCCTCTTGTGTGAGCTCGACGTCTCTGCAGAAGTCGTGGAGGTGCTTGATGAGAGAGCCGAGAACCTGTCTATGTCTGGGCTTGGTCTCGGGGCTCATGAGGTCGATGACATGTTGTGTGAAGTTGGGGTCGAACTTGCTCTTGGTGCCATTGGCGCCGTTGGCGTGTCCGTTGACGCCGTTTGTGCCGTTCGTAGCCATTGTGATCGATGTTGTGGAGATGTGTTTGGTGGAGGGTATCTGGAGGGTAACAGAAACAACGCGCTGTGATGGAGATGGAGGAGAGCACTTGTAGGATGAGAGATTCTTTGACACAGAAGCAAACCTGCGAACGAACCGGAGGGCCATCATGGTTAAGTATCAAAATCTGGAGCCCCGGATTTAGGCATGAGCAATCCAGACAAGCAAGCCACGGATGGTGGGCATGAATCGTATGACCATCTTTGGTTGCGGCAACAGAGTGCGGCATCGAGTGCGGCAACAGACTTCGGCAATTTGACTAGGGGTTCAATTCTTTGGGGTAAACTTTCGCGCCTCGCGCTTTGTGCCCCGCGGTGGCTCATCCATCCCACCACCAGGCCTCGATCAGAGTGGCAGAGACGATGGACTAACCCCCGCCATGGTCCCTGCGGTTCGTTTACTCAGCCAAGGGGGGCAAAACATAGATCCGGGACAATGAGTAGCGATGATGGCATGGGTAAGTGTAATTCCCACGCCTAGGAGCCGAAATGCGGGGGAAACCCGTGGGAAAGCTTCAAAGCATGCGGGGAGGACACTCTGGAAGACAGACGGCGTCGACTAGACTCCATCAAGAGTTGTTCATCTGTTTCTAACTGGCTGGATGCCTGGAACATATGGAGACATAGTCCGTCCAATGCCAGATGGCTGGGATTCTGCTCACAACTCGCTGACGGATCCATCTCTCCTGATTGGCATGACCTGTCAGGCGGGCGTCGTTGTCGGTTTTGGATTCAGCCGGAACTGTTGGATCCTTCAGCTTCCCATCGTTCGATGTTTGGCCATGTAGCGCATCGAATCGGCGCATCGAAGCGGCTCAGTCGGGAAGAAACGCGGGTGTTGAGGGTTAAGGCTGGCTCCCGCGAGTCGTGTGTGATACGGGGAGATGAAATGTTGCACAGCATGATCCCAGACTCAACTGTCGCGTCTCTTGTCCAGACATTATTCTTCATCGTTGAAGGTAGTTTCGGTCGCTACCGATTTGCCAGATCTCGAACTCAGAGGCTCCTTGGTGCGTCCTCCGGGATCGGCGCCGGTGAGATTCGGCCTCCCGAACGGCCCTTGGGCTTGGCTTGAACATTTCCTTGGGGAAAGGTTGTATGATCACAAGCAAGAAAAGTCTGAATCATAAACATTGACAACGAAAAAACACATTTCTACCTTCTCTACGGCGAGAATCATCTCATCTTAGTGCCGCGCGAGTCACTCTGCCCCGGCACCAACGACGCATTCGCGGCCTCTGGATCACTCCTCCCTGTCCCCAGATCCAAGAATCCCGGGTCCGTCCCGCCGTGAAATCGCACCCTCATCCGGCCCGACTCCTGCTGAATCCGATCTAGCTCGGGCGCCGACCGTCCGTTCTCCTTGAAGAACG